TTCCCGAACAGCACCCTTGTACCAATCCGACAAAACTAAGGTGTAATTTGTAAACTAAAACCGTAAGGTTGTATTAATCATGCAAGGTAATTTATTTTTCATAATCACAGAGGCACAGAGGAAATTACACTGCCCGTGTGTAATTTACATTTTCTGTAACGCACCTGCCCACGAAAGCAACAGCTAAGACTCACCTGTCAGGCATCGGGGGTGGGTATTAGGTCTTGTGGTCTTCTATGCTAAACACTGTTGCACCCGTCGGTATCATATTAGGTTGCTTTGTGTTTCCTTACGAAGAACCGAGTATCGTGGCGAGATATTTACGAGAGGAGTCAGAGGCGTGAGTTGTTCCCCGACCGACACGCCCCATTCTACTGACTCCCAGAGCGGTATAGACGGCTTCCCATTGATTTCTCTCCGGTCTATTTCAGTTGGTCAACTACCCCATTGTACGAGGGCGAAATCGATACGAGGCACATGGCCGTCTTCGTGGCCCCCCCGCCACGGAAAAACACAGGTCGGCGGAAACTTTTCCCAGTTTGAAATTGCAGACTGGGGGTGGGCCGGGTGCTTGGGTGAGAGGACATTCGATGGAAATACCTCTGTGCAAAAAGGGAACATCCGGTAGAAAAAGCGCGTTCCTAAAACCCGTTGTATCATTCTGATATTTTCCAATATCGTGCACATTAATTTTCAAAAATGCGCTCGATAAGTAATATTTTACATTTTTCCACAGTTTGAAACGGTCTATGTCGTTCGTAGAGCATATATGACGTCACACCGTTCGACTGGCTCGACCAGACGACGGCTATTAGCTGCTGTCTCAAGTTACTTGTTTGTGGTATAATTTCAGTTCTTTTGGTACTTTTCCAATCATACTTTTGGGCCAAACGGATTAGTCGAGGGTTATTTCTACCAAAATAGTTTTGCCTAACCAAAAATCGTACTCTATGAACAGCAGACAGCTTCAACTGAAGATTCTGGTGCAAGAAGAGATGTAAATTTTTTTCTTAAATAGTATTTCTGCGGATATACATAAGTTTAAAACTGTACTCTATGCATTTTGTGCGAATATGGAATGTGTGGGCTTAATAGAAACTGAACTGGTTGATTACACAGACACACAAAGAAAGACTCCAATCCCAAGAGACGCACATATCATTTCCGAAGGAATTGGATGCGCTGAACACGATCCTGTAGGCCGACGAATTGCGGAGAAGAGTGAAAACGCCCAAATATGGGTTAAATTTTCATAAATTTTGTCCAATTTTCGTAGTATTTTGAGCTGTTTTCACACAAATAGTGGATTTTCTGAGAAATATAGAGGTCATGGGCAAATTTTACTAATGACATCGCGTTCAGCGTCTCAAAATTCTACGAGAATGATATATTTGCACCAAATTTAGGAAAAAATCAATTTTTTTTACCTATATTTGGACCCGTCTGCACACAATTAGTGAATTTTCTGAGAAATATGGAGGTCATGGGTAAATTTTACTAATGGCATCGGGTTTAGTTCCTCAAAATACTATGAAAAATCATATATTTGGACAAAATTTAGGAAAAAATCAATTTTGACTCAAATTTAGGACAGTTTTCACCCCAATAATAGATTTTCTGAGAAATATCGAAGTCATGGGTAAATTTTACTAATGGCATCGGGTTCAATCCCTCAAAATACTATGAAAAATCATATATTTGGACAAAATTTAGGAAAAAACCAATTTTGACCCAAATTTAGGACAGTCTTCACCCCAATAATGGATTTTCTGAGAAATATCGAAGTCATGGGTAAATTTTACTAATGGAATCGTGTTCAGCGTCTCATAATACTATGAAAAATCATATATTTGGACAAAATTTAGGAAAAAATCAATTTTTGACTCATATTTGGGCAAGTTTTCATCCAAATTGTGGATTTTCAACGCTTCAAAATACTACGAAAATACTACTTTTAAAAGATCTAACTTGAAAAAAAATCTTTGTCCTCTTCTGACTAATTTCTCAAATTTTAGATTTGGAAAATGAATCGTAAAACACCCTGTAATAATGATAAAAGTTTATCATTATTTGTCGAAATAAGAAGTTGAAAAATATTTTTTAACCCTTTTAGAGTCTGAAAATGAGCCACAAAATTCTTCCTTGCAATGAACGCAACAAGTTTGATCATTTTTACTGATCTGTCCAATATATTGGCGGAGGCACCGGTGAAAAAGTTAGACGCTCCAAATTTTAAATGCCGATTCTATAAAACAAATTTAATGAACAATTTGAATCGTATTTCCTTGCTGTTGCATTAATTTCTCACTCTCTTTGTGAAAGAATAATGATAGGAAATCGAACCCGCTACCAAATTATACCCTCGACTTGGTATCGTTCGTGCGAATTACAAAAACAAATCTTCGCCCATCGCGTGCATGTGCAACGGGCTAAGAAACGCGTCTATTTAAATCCGTCAAGGCCAAGGTTGTTAATAAAGTTCCGATCGACAAAGCCTATATTTTCGGCGACCTTTGAACTATACACGCGTCATTAATCAAAGGAATTTTGCAAGGGATTTACGGTACTAAAATAAAATAATAAAAATAAGATGGTAGGGCTTGATATTTAGTTTATTTTAACGCTGTTTGTACGGGGTGTTTGGAAGTAGTAGCGTTATGTATAAAAAAAAATTGGAAATGCAAAAACAACTTCGCAATTGTGCAACAAATAAATTTTTTTCGAAAAGTGTTCGAAAATTAATGGTTTTAGCAAAAAAATGTACCTATCCATGTAACATAACCTTAAATATATCAAAAAAATCGCGATTTTGACTTTTAGGTTAGCATATCTCGAAAACCAGAGCCATATGAGAAATTTGGACCGAATTCAGCTCACCAAAATCCTTTGGGAAAGTATATTCGTGTTGGTGGGTTGAAATCATGTCGGCCTGTGCAATTTTAGAAAATACTAATATAAAAAATTTTCAAAACTCTCTCTGCTTGTAAAGTTGGATATCGTCCAAAGAGATGGCTAAGATTTTAATGACAGTAGAAGCCTCGGGTGAACAATTTTTATTTATGAAGGTAAAATTCTTCGAGGAGTTTTTCAAGTTGTGATGTTTTTCTTTTAGAAAAGAACTACTAAATATGACAGAACATTATCATTATCAATCAAATTTGTGGCACCAACACAGATACTTAGACCCATTCACAAATTAGGCTCCTATAATCTTATTTAACAGTGGACATTTTGTGTTCAGATTTAAAAATTTTACTTTTCGTACTTTTTTCCTCAGGTGTTCCTCAAGGCTCTAATTTAGGGCCGCTCTTGTTTTTGCTTTTTATAAACGATCATCCGGATGTTGTGTCGTGCACAAAATTGCACTTTGCTGATGACTTCAAAACTTTAAAACTAATTTTATTGCAAACGATTATGTGTTGACAAGTTTTATTTTCTTATTAATTCCTATTAACTTGATGCATGATTTATATAGGGTGTTCCTAAATAAGTGTCGCAACGGAAAACTTTTAATTCCTCTTGAAAAAAGAAATAAAATTTTCCTCTTCCATTTTTCTCTCCGGGCTTTCGTTTTCGAGATAAACGGTGTCAAAAGTTTTTTTCAGATTTTTGCCAATATCTTAGGAACCGTTTGAACTACAGGACTGAGCTTTTGTACCCATATTACCACTATTAATAGCTACTTATTGCAAATGTTTTTAATTATTACTATCTATCTTTAGAATTACAAAAGATTTTCGAAACGTTAGCAAAATGTTTGTTTTTTGTTCATAAAAAGTCATTTTTCTTGAAAACGGTTGACTTTAGATCAATGAACCAAGAGAACTCTTTTTGTGTAAAATTTATTGGCGCTTCAGAATTTGCAGTCAAATGTCAATTTTTCCAGTGGCGTAAAAGTTAGGGGGGAAAACCCTTACGATACCTTAAAATCTCCACCACTGGCACGTTCAATGAATTCGAGAAGGGTGCGAAAAAGTAGCTATTAGTAGTGGTAATGCGTGTACAAAAAATCAGTCCTGTAGTTCAAACGGTTCCTAAGATATTGGCAAAAAATTAAAAAAAAGAAAGTGTACACTGTGTATCTCGAAAACGAAAGCCCGAAGAGAAAAAGGGAAGAGGAAAAGAATGTTTCTTTTTTCAAGAGGAATTTACAGTGTTCCGTTGCGACACTTATTTAGGAACACCCTGTATAATAAAATGAGAAAATACTGTATTTTGAATGACAGTTATATAAGTATGTAAATTTATGTATCTTTTGGTATAAGTTTACATGTACATGTTTTATAATTAATAATTCTACATGATTTTAGTTTTCATTATATGTACTTCAATTCAATAAAATTCAATATTAATTCGACCATCAATAATTAATAATAATTTAATTTCAAGTAATTTCAATAAATTCACAACTAAAATAGCCAATAATTTAAAGTCTTACCTTTGTCCTTACCTCTTAATTATATGTATTTGTCCGGAATATTACCTGTTTTATAAACTAATTTCCAAAACTAATTCAAAACTGCAGATACTAAAAGAGTTTTCCGAATTTCTAAAAATAATGATCCATTTTTCTATCTGAAAACAAAAATTGCTCCAAACAAGATTTAACAAATTAATCAAGTAAGCACGTAGTCAGTTATTTCATAGAATACTGTATCCACCCTTTGATTAATCTTCAAAGCAGGCGATGATTTATGTCTGGAATCGATTTCCCACAAGTCGTAAAGATTTTAACGAGGCATTTTATAGTCGACCAATAACACTGTTTATACGAGGTTAACAGAATAAAATGGAACTTTTAATTGATCAGTACCGTCCTTAATATACGTGATATCTACCCATTTTATCACCCGACCATAAACAGTCGTTTTTTATACCAACACATGTTGCTCTTAAGTCAATTTAATTTAAAAGGCCATAAAACTCACGTAAAAACAAAAATCTGCAATTTATTTGTTTGCTTAGTGTTAAAAAAAACATAAATAACTTAATCGATTCACTCCATGTCCACAATTTCGCAGCTGTGGTACTTGGAGCTCGTCTCCAGCCAGCTCTCCACGTCGTTGGAGGTCAAGTCGTCGGTGGAGGGCAGCTCGGTGAGCGGCTCCATCTCGCTGAGGTAGCAGTTCTGGGAGATGTTGCCGTTTTCGCGGTACCTGTGTCGGGACTCGTTGGAAAATGTTTCTGGGGACATGCACACGCCTAAAAATTGACAGTTGTTTGTCAGAGGGTCTTTAAGGATAAGAAAACCAACAATTTAAGTCAGCAAAAGGTCTGAATTTACGAGCTAAATCAATTATCTTAACATCCAAAGAGAGGTATAATGTTTGTTTAAAATTATAAGAGCGTGCCTTGGAAAACAAAAACAATTGTTGTCTAAAAAGACAGTGTCAGTAATCCTAACAAATTACAAAATTTTGTTTTTTTTTTCGATATTTGATGAGGTTTTAACGCGAAATTGCGATAAAAATAAACTAGAATCTTCAAGCTTCAAGACGTTTCTTTTTTTTCTCGATATGGCCATTATTCACGAAGCTTGGAAAATTTGAAAATTCTTATACTCCTTTAATTTTTTTGCTGAGTTTAACTAATGCTGAAGTGTCAGTCAAACTTATAACACACCGTATGACGAAATTATATTTTAATTCACTGCATTCTGATTTTAATCGTTACTACTCACCTCCATTGGCTTTCTTTGTACGAATGGGTGACTTGTATTCTCCACCAGAAGTCAGAGAGGAAGTAATGCTGGGCAGCCTTATGTCTAGATGCGAACCTTTGGCAGTCACAATCTTATTATTCATCGCGTAGAGTTTCGTGGCAATGTCCCTGGCGATGATGGTCGTCAGCACCGTGGCTATGTAGGTGTCCTTGACGAAGAGGTACTCCAAAGATGAACGTTGCCAGTAGAGGTACCTGCACGTACTGGATGCTACTATCGACACCTGCAATAAATGATACTGTAGAATTTTACCATTCAAATTCAAATTCTACACAGACTATTGGGACACCCACCTTAAATTTGTCATCTACCGTGTTTCTGCTGGACTCAAATTCTGGAGAATCCAGGAATTCGCAAGGGAGGATGGGGTGCAGGAACTGGTTGTTCGAAAGGACGTTCACCTGTAATACAAATGTACATAATATAACAGAGAATTTATACATAAAAAATAACAGTATTGGTGTTTATCAAAACCACACCTCCACATATTTAATTACAATAATGAACGTACCGCACGAAACCTCAATTACTGGACCCTATAACATATTAAACACCACTTAACTTACCTTACCTGACAGCAACAGGCCCAACCTATCCGTCCTTGTCAAGTTTTGCACAGCGTACGCCTCCCCGGCGTGCAGCGACATGATCTGAGCAAAGTCCGAGCTCACCATCCTCTTAAACTGCAACCTGGTAAGCTAAAACCAAAAAGTGGCACATGGCAGTTGCGCGAATCCAAAAAACTTACTTTAAAGGGTTCAAAGAGGGTATGGTAAACCTCCTCCAGCTCAGGATCGAACTTGACCGGTCTTAGCTGGTAGAGGATGTGGAAAACTTGAGCCATGTTCATCAGCATGAAGGCGAAGTTCCAAGTGAACACGTCGGGGGCACAGATGATGTTCCATGCCCATGTGGAGAACAGCATCAAGCCTAAATTTGTTAATTGAAACTATTGCAATTCATAATCAAATCGTTGCTAAGTTGCAATATGAATTTACAACAAACTAGGATTTAGTATCTACTGTTATTAAAATATTGTACATATGAGGTCTAATATTTACTCTTGCTTACTATTTATAGTCCATGGTCAGTGTTAAATTACCTAATATCAGCCAACAGTGCATGAAGAGTACACCTCTCTTGGAACATGTTGACGAATAGGCTAGGACGAAACAAAAATTCGCCAGCTGGTAGAGGATGTGTTGAGGATCCTTCCAATAGTCACACCAAGGCCACCAAGTCTCTGAAAAAGTGTATAACTGTGGATGAGTTTTGTTGGATCTGATGATGATGATGAAGACGACGATGATAATGATGCTGATGATGATGATAATGTGGTGGTGGTGATGATGATTAGACATAAATGCATGTCTTATTTTAATAATTTCGTATTAAAAGAAAGGAGGATTGCACCTGTACCTACAATATTCATTTTGATGTATTAAAAGTTAATGAAACAAAACATATTTCTCATAAGCATGCAGGCCGATCACACAAAACATCTCATTTAATAATTTCATCCTCAAGGGAAAGCGGGGCCAGACAGCATATCCATGAAACCCTGGCAAAATGACAAAATCGGTGATTACGCACACAGTCAGTCACATACCCTTCCACATGATGGAATTACCGTCGCCTCCGCCCACGTGGAGGCCGCAGGAATCGTCTACACCATCCTGCGGCGGCAGGACCGAATCTCGCGTTGGTTTCATCTCGCTGTGGAGCCTGCCAAGACTGGCCGTCGTTTGCATGGAATCGTTCCAATTAGCAGGATACCCACACGAGGAGGTCGAGAGACGCCAGCGAGTCGGGCTCCTGCTGTCGCAGGATTATCCTGCTGGCAGCACTACGCGAGCGGTCCACGAGGATGAGGGGGAAAAGGTGAGCTGGCTTAATCGGTGTTAAGGGAAAGCGTTCTAAAAATATGCTTCAGCATAGTGTAAAGGTTGCGCTTTCAGTTTTTCCAGGATAAACATCTGTTTTATTACAGCTTACTGCGATATTTTGCTAGTCTAGCTAAATTACTGTAAGAACATTTTTTTTCCAACGGATTTTACAAAAATATATACAGGCCGAAGTTGGTAAGTTTATTAAGAGCTTTGACGTCATCGAAGTTATTTTTCTAATTCCATATACAGTCTGTTTAATTATAATGGCCCCGAGTTATAAGTCGGTTATTTGGACACCCTGTAGTTATATTATTTTCTTTATACTGACGCACAAATTTTTTTTTTCGTCACACTGTAGATGAGTGATGACGTCATCGATATTTTTTTAATGGGATTGTATAAATTTTTTGATAGTTTTTCTTATTCTCTTTCCAGCCATATGAAATTTGTATGGCTTTGCATAACGAAATTTTTGAGAAAAAATGAGAAAACTTTCTAAATGTAATTGTAAAGCTACAACACTGTTTTTTCTACATTCATAATAAACCTGCAGAATATCAACTTCTTCATTAAAATAATTCATTTTGCTAAAAGTTAAACTTGAAAGGTGCCAACAATTACAAACAAACCGATGTGTGCCAATTGTTTTTCCAGCGCCTTCTTTTTGATGTGATTTAGAAAGCGAGCACCGCAAACTACACTCAAAGGATGAAGGTTTTCTCATTTTTTCTCCTTAGCAAATAGCTAATTAGTGAGGCAAAGTTATTTTTTACTTAAATTACATTGTAAATGTTGGGATTTAAAATATTTTTTTCGTTAGAATAAATACATTGACCTAGATGACCCTGTATATAATTTTTTGGAATCTTTTATTTCTTGTACTACTTGAACCGATTCTTTTACATTTATTACATATTATTTTCCCCCTATAGTTTTTAGAATACAGAATAAAACATATTTTTTTGTATATATTCATTTCACTTGGACAGAAAATAAGTTAGGTTAGGATGCGAAGTATCTCGTTTGTATTCAGGATTGGAGATTAAAAAAAAAACATTTTATAATACAAAAGGCTTCATGTGTCAATAGGAAGCGAAGTGAATTTTCAAATTATGAAAAATATTTACCTTTTAAAGTATCGAAAGCAGCAGGAAGAGGTCTAAGGTTTATAAAAGAATATATTCGAAAGTTATTGAAGATTCTGTTTCGTTAGCAACTCTTTTATAAATAATTCTTGTCTTGGGAACCTCAATTTGTAATTTCCGAACAAAAAAAATAACGGTAGTTGATTGCGTAAAATTTGTTCAACTGAAATAAATAAAGTTTCGTAAATAAGTAGTTATATTATTATCGAAGCAGTTTATCAATTTAAATGAAACAGTAACATCTGTATAAAAAAAGACTTTTCAGTTTTAAAACAAAGCGGTCCTTTTCGTTCTGTTGACATTTAGAATGTCAACATTCCGAAAGCAGTTATTCTTTTCTTAAAATTTATAACAAAAAACAAAAATCAGCAAAAATAAAGTAAATTTCACACCTTTCGTCTCAACCGACTGCAGTTTTACTTATTTCCGAAACTATAAAACAATTCAACATTCCTTGCACCTATCGGACATGCCATTCTAGGTTCACCTGATGGGATGGTGTAGGAGATGTTCTTGTCCCCCACCGGCCAGGACACGTTGAACCCCGAAGGACCCACATACAGGGTATGGGGTCTTTCCTGGTTCGGCTGGAGCCCGCTTTCAGCATTGGAGGGCATTTCTGCTCAATTTCGACGGCCGAAAGGCATTACCGAAATTTCTTTGTTTATATTTCACATTTACTACTTTGCCTGATCAATAAGATGAGGGAAATTTGTCCCTCGGGGAAGAGGGTAGTTTTCTATAGCGTGCGAAAGGTAAAAGGGTAGTTTAGGGTGCAGAAATTGTCTGGAATATTGGCTTACGTAGTTGGACTGGCGACAGATGTCGTACGTGTTCGGGTTGTTGTACTAAACATTAATTTTCAAAAATGAATGGAACAAATTGTTACAACAAATGTAATTATTTGTTTTGTAAACTTGTTTTTATTATTATATCAGCAGATACTGAGGTTTAGGTGAGATATAATTAAATATTTTATTTTAAATAAAACTTATTTGTTAGTTTAACACGTGCTTAAGTTGGTGTCATTTTTAAATATCAAATACTTGTTAAATTGAAAAGAGCAAATATAAGACATGGTTTAAATAAGTATAATTTAATTAATTTAGCTTATATAGGTACTTTATTTATTATATTCAAGCAAATATAAACATGAACTATAATTGTATAACTTCGATTTCGATATACATACATGATAATATATGAAAAACTATTTTTGGGATTTTTTTGTTATTAAATTGGGCATATCAGCCACAATTAAATAAATATAAGTTTAACTAAAGCTAGACACCCTGGAGATTGTGATGTCTATTTCGTGGGTATACTTTTCGATGGTGTCGTTGTTCCACTAAACAAAACTTAACAAAAAAACTAAAAACTGGTAAATATTAAACTGAAAATGGAAATTGTGAATTACAGGTGACAGAATGCATCTGTCTAGCTCTTGGATGGTTTATCTCATTACCATTCAACAGGTAATTTCGATCGACTAACGACGATTGAGCGACGGTGGACTGAACTTTGGTGAAATTCAAAACTTTATACCTGCAACTCTTACAAAAATGTGTCGGTGCACATGAAATTTTTGCAAATCAACGTGGAAGATTGCCAGCAGTGGTAGCTGGCAATAAACAGTCGTATATTGCAATATTGGGCGTTTAATAACCAAGGCTTAAGTTATTAAGAAAAATATATTAAATACAGTAAACACAGCGAGGGATTATCAATTTGTTATCTAGACACAAGTGAATATTATGAGTGATTTGTCAATAATTGTTTCAAATAGAACAAATAAATGTCAGTGGAACGCATTATTATTACTAGCTCCTGTATATTTAAAACAAATACACGTGTTTTCTGCAAACACGTCAAAATTAATGTTATTGTACCGTTTTGACACATATTAAATACACCTAAGTAAATATAGATACGTTTTAATTAAATCTGCTGTTTGATTTGCCACCTACTGTTGTCCATTGATGGATAATAGCGGCCTACAGTCTTGGCTAAGCCTAAAACTTGCGGAATTACATCAAAGAAGAAACGTGACTAATTTTCAAGCCCCCAAATTTCGAACACTAACCTCAGTGTACTTTAAAATTCAATCTTGAGAAGCACCATCTTAAGGTCCTTTCCAAATATTAATAAAACATTATACAAATGAGTTATTTGAAGAAACAATATCCCAGAAAGGCTTATAGATACTGAATTAACTACAATACGAGAAAAACTAATTTTATCTTTAGTGTAAAATTATTGAAGTCGTACTATGTTGTTTCACCATAACTTACTTTGATTTATCCCATAATAGTTTAGGAAATACTCGGATTTTTTTTATTTTTACCAGTACACTGTTTCGTCCTCTTGTAAACTCGGACGCTTTTTTCAAACACTCCCTCACAGGGCCCGCTATGAATTTCGAACAAAAAAATTACCGCCACCCTTAACTTGGATCCTAATCTGTAACAAACCGTAAAACTGCCAATAAATATCATTCGACATAACCGAAAAAGGGTTATCGGGGCCAATACGGCCTATTCGAAGGAGATTCGTCGCGGATAGAAATTTAATGTTTCGAAAAAAATCGGAATTCGCTTTTCTTAGGCATCTCGTTCGACATGGCGTTTCAAGCAGATGTCGACACTGTTTTGGATGCAAAGGGGTGAGATTGTAACTATATTTAATATTTTGTACTGGTATGGAGAAAAATGCGGTTGTAGTTATTGCAATTTTGCAAATCAATGAGGAAATATCAAAGTATGAAGAGCACAACAGTATAAAGTGTTCTGAATAACAACCTGGTACGTTGTGGGATAAGAGACGGTTTTTTCTTTCAATACACTGGACATTGGTTCTGTCAATCTTTTGTGACAACTTTGCGAACAACAATGCGAAAGGATGTACGGAGAAATCTTTTACAAATAAAGCGGAGGAATATACAGATAAATTTGTTAATAATAGTTAATAATAGACAGATTTAGATTTAATTCTAAAATAAATTTATTAGAAGACAAAAAAGCGATTTCAAGTTGATCCAGTCTAAATATCTTCTTTCCTATTTGAAAAATTGTGGACAGAACGTAATTTTCTTTTTGCTGTTCCAACAACTTATCGAATGCCCAACATTTTCATTTGACTGAGGGTGCGTGCCCCCAGAGATTATTACACAACGATTAAAGTATTATTTCATGGCCTAGTGGTAATGTTTTAAGATGGAGAGATTAACCATTGTCGGCTGCATCAGATACAGACTCGCATGCTTTTAGCAGGCCCAAACAGGTGGTGAAATTACAGGGGAGCCAACTAACCACCGTGGATAATTCGTCGCTTTTTACTAGCGTACCAACGTCCTGCTCGAAAAGGAATTGGTTTAAGGCAGGATTTAGCGAAATATTTGTTTTTATTTGACACACTGAGGGAGATCAACCAATAAAAATTATAATTATAACAGCAATTTCAGTTATACCACAAGGTACAATATTATATTATTTTCTTAATACAATTTTATTATCTTAAGTTGGTGTTTTACTAGAAGAAAAGGGGATATTCTTACGGTGAATAGGTAAATTTCTTCTAATACTTCTTTCAGTAAAGGAAAGGATAAATTATTGCACTAGGTTTACCTAAAGCTAAAAAAATTGACGTAGAAATTTTACAACAGAAGCTAGATATTTTTTAGCGCGTAGTAATCATAGTTCATAAGCAGACGCGCGCAACTACATAGTACCATTGCCTCGTAAGTTATCAACTTTGGTTTATAATTTCTGTTTTATATTTAAAAAGTTAAAAGTAAAAAGCGAGGGATGATGAGACTGTCCAACTACAAGTATCTCGTTTTTTACTTGCAAATGTGAAAGGAAAGTTTAAAGATAAGCTAGATTGAATCTAGCTTAGTACAAAAAATCATTTATTTGAAGTAAAATAAGACATTTTGCTTGTATTGACATAAAGCTCGTCTTTCTAGTATAACAATCCAACAAACGCAATAAAAACTTTTGCTAATAAAAATTGCACTGTAGCGACCTTAATAAAAAGATCGGCTAACAGACATTTTTTAGAATTAATCAATTTCTATATCTAATTAAGAACGATTATATACCTACATTTATATACATGACAATGACTGACAACTTAGCAATAATAAACTCGTGCGCTTTTATCAAGTTTCTGTTGCAAATTTTGGCATTTATTTATGCATATTGGGTAAAAAATATTAATTGAGAAATGGAAATGTATAATTTTAAGTATTTTAAACTCGATTTTATTCAATATCTACAAGCAAGTATCTCAATCCACTTACTTTCTAGTCATAAAGAATATTTTTCTTTGCATTCACAGCAATAATGATTTCCCTCAGTGTATCAATAAATGTTTTTCACATTGTAAATTCTCTCTTTATGGGATTTAAAAATGTAGGAGCAAATACAAATTTAACTGACTGTTTTAACTTTTAAATGTTTAGATTTCAAGAAAATGATCAGAGGAACAAAAGACTAATTGATACAGATAAATGGTGTTGCATATTTTTTTCGTGCTTTTCCATGTACGAAAACTGAGTGTATATACGTTTTAAATACATAATTGTAAACTTAAAAATTAATACGGTTGAAGATTTAAGTATCATATTTTATTTTAATAATTTAACTTTCGTTTTACATACTGGATTAATTGTCAGTAAAGCTTACTTCACTTTAGGTTTTATTATGAGCACAACTAAATCATCTACTAGCTCTAAATCAATTGCATACTTATATAATTGTCTTGTTCGTAGTATTTTTGAATGCGCTCGATAGGTCTGGAACCTTTCTTATAGGAAATATATTGATCGTATAAAGATAATTCATTCTAAGTTTGTTAATATTTGAAATTACAGAGACATAAGTAAATTATCATCTCGTATTTTTCATTTATATACTGCTTTGTGACGAGGTAGATTGCAACTATAGGTATTAACAGCGATTAAGAAGATCAACAAATCTGTTTCATTTAAGATTCAGTTCCACCAATTTATTTGATAAAAAAAGTACATTGCTATAGATTTGTTCTGTAGATCTCTAATTCAAATAAATAATGCCATACTTATTCGTTTTTATGCAAGTTTTAATTTATATTTTATTTTTATATTCTTCATATACTTGTATTATGCTATCCAATGTTGTATTTTATTAATTGTCTTGTTGTCTAGATTTCTTTTATTTCCGCCGAAGACATTGTTTATTTCCAAAAAAAATAATGACTAGAAGTTTGATTTGTCAATCTAAAAATCTGTCGATCGTTTATTTTAAACCTTTTTCACTATACCACTAATAATGTAGTATATCCGATTTAATTAATTTAATTTTTTATTATGTATGCAAAATTAAAAACTTCTTTTTTATGTTTTTGTAAGAGGAGGGGTAGACAGTATAAAGTGCTGGTGTCAACCAATGGGTCCGAGCTTTGTTCCCTAAACGGTGGTTCAACGTGGAGGGGCTCGACCTAACACATATAAACTAAACCACCCTCTACCATTCAATTTAGTTTGCAAAAACCCTAATGAAGTCCGGATGACGGTAGTGCAGTGCTGAAACCGTGAGTTTGCGTATTTTTGTGTCTGTTGTCTTGGATGGTATATTGTTAAAGGTAGGTGTGACCTTAGTTTTAACTTTAATATATAGGGCGTTCCAAAAAATATACGAAGCTTCGGTGACAGTGGACCAACTCGTTTTAAAAAGTTTGGCCACTGATGTATGCGCATTGATCTCGATTAATAGGTTCTTTAATGAAAAAAAGAATAATTATGTTTCTCATCAGTGTGATGACTAATGTTAAAGTCATGAAGACTACTATGCTATTTAAATTCGCTATGAATAATGAAAATTGTATTAGATGCGTACAATACGTCGCTATTTTGATGTAAACAGATACGGGAATTATTTTTAAAACATTGCTTCGTTTTTGTCATTGTCACATATAAACAATTTTAGCAACAAAACTACAAGTTCAATAAGGTGTAAAGGTTCTTAATGACCAATAAAATGTTATGTCTTATACATTCAATTTTTTTTTTGTTAATTTCTTAGAAATTATCTCCAACTTGTTGTCTTTTATATTATACTTTCAATATTCATTCAAAGTCTTGTTCTACACAAGGAAACCAATTATATTTTTTCGAAAACTGTCATCAAAAGTCGACATTTTCGTTAAATTTTCAGTTGACAGTGTTTTTTTTGTCACCTACTTTTTTGTTCTAGAACGTCAAAATGCAAATGCAAATGCAAAATGATTTATTTTTTCGAAACTTTTATTAATTAAGCAATATACATTTTAAGTAATATAACATTTTAATACAAAACAGTAACTATTGTAAACAGAACGATTACAATTTATTTTGCACTACATGTAAATTGAAAGTGCCGATATTGCAGTGAGTTAAATTTATGCCAGATCCAGTGCTGTCAGTTATCGTAGCACAATATTATTATCTTACCTTCAGAGAGCTTATTGAATCAGTAAACTTTGATTGTCACATATGCAGATGTGTTCAGTGTTGTTGCTGGTATCCACCCTGGTTGCGAATAATTGTAAAAAACAAGTTACAATAAATGGATTTACTTGAAAAAACTGGAAGATAATAGGGTGTCAAAAAATATTAGTGATATGTAAAGACCAATTTTGTTTGCTGGTTATACTTGGATACTATTTACGTTTTATTTCAAGACTGTACTATTTTCTTCTTACATTTATGTGCGTTGATTGTGTTTACATGTTTACACCGAACTTAACGAACATAGCTAACATAGCACTCATGCAACAGCGTCTACCCTCACTCCACTGTCTAAAGCCACAACGTTAATATAAAATAACTAAAACAGTTTTTAACACATAAAGCGAACGTACAAACACAGCTGACATAGTGCTCTGCATAGTAATAATAAATGCTGTTTTATAGCTTGTATACCGAACGTTACGAACATAGCTAAGATAGCGTTCTGTGTGTCCCAGCGAAAAATAGTTGTAGCTATTTTTAATTCACATAGTAAGCATACAAACATAGCTACCACAGTGCTCTAAGTAGTAATAATAGTTGCTGTTTTTAACGTATTTAGCGAACGTTACGAACATAGCTAACACAACGCGCTGTATGGCTTTAGCGTAAAATAACTGTAACCGTTTTTAACGAACGTACACAGTTCAGTTATCACTGTGCTCTGAGCAATCTTAATAAATAGTGTTTTAATCTGTAATGTCAACGCAACGAATATAGCTAACGTAGCGCTATATGAGACTAGCGTAAAACTAACCATGTGTAGTTATAACTTAACGAACATAGTTAATTTAGCGCTCTGTATGACAATTGCAAAAGGCAATTATAATCATTTCTAATCCACATACAGAGCATACATACATACAGCGCTATGGTCGTAATAAAGACTTACACATCGAACATAGCTATCATAGCGCTCTTTAATAACGAGCATTCAAATAAAAACGTGGTCAAGTTGGTTCTGGACGTAGGGCGTAGCGTATAGCAAATGAACTTAAACGTCATCTGTCAAAGCGCTATATCGCCGCTATCAATTTGAATATTTTCGTTTTAAAAAGCGTTTAAAATGGTGTTTTCTCAAGAACAAAAAGTGTTTATCATAGAGTCCTACTTTAGAAATGGACGCAAGATTGATGGAATATGGAAGTATTCTATTGAGGAATGTTTCATAGAATTTCAAAATCAATTTCCCGGCGTTGTTGAGTACAAAATTTTTCAAAGTGCAGTTCAGCGTTGTGTTAATGTTTTTCGTGAAACGGGCAGTGTAACAAGAAAAGAAGGAAGCGGCCGACCTAAAAAGCGGACTGAAGAATTAAAAGAAAATGTCCAACAAATAATGGAAAATGCGCCAAGAACTTCTGTACGTGTTTTATCACAAATGGTGGGAGTATCAGTCGGTACCTGCCACACAGTGTTAAAAAAAGATTTGCGTTTGTTCTCCTATCGTTTAACTTGTCAGCAAGAACTTCATGAAGTTGATTTTCCGCGACGGGCTGTATTTTGTGGATGGTTTTTAAACAACTACGGTGAACTTCATAATATCACCTTTTTTTCTGATGAAGCCTGGTTTCATTTAAGTGGTTACGTAAACTCACAGAATATGAGAATGTGGTCTTCTGAAAAACCAGATAACTTTTTTGTCGAGGGCCCTCTACACGCTCAAAAAATTGGAGTTTGGTGTGCTCTCAATCGAAGGAGGATTTATGGACCTATTTTTTTTAATGGTACTCTTACTGCGCAAAGGTATAGAGAAGAAATTATCGCTCCTTTTGTTAACCAGCTGAAAGAAAACGAAATTACAAACTTTTACTTTCAACAAGATGGCGCAAGGGCACATACGGCAGGCGAGACGATGAATATGTTGAGGGAAGTTTTCCAAAATCGACTAATAAGTCTCAATGCTGAACATGAATTTCCACCAAGGTCATGTGATATTACGCCGTGTGATTTCTTTTTGTGGCCTTACCTTACAAACACTATTTTTGAACTGCCTATTCCTGATTTAAACCATCTGCAGGCTCGACTTATAGACAAGATTCGTGAAATTAACAATACCCCGAGCATCTTAGAAAATGTCTTTAATTCTTTGAGGAACAGGTGTGAAAAGTGCTTGGAACAAGGAGGGGGACACTTTCAGCAGCTACTTTAATTTATTGTTATAACAAGGAGGGGGACACTTTCCGCAGCTCCTTTAATTGTTTGTTATTGTTATCACGATTATTCTTTAAAATAAAGTTATATAGTCATTAACGTTATTGAAACTGACATCGTTGAGAAATGAGGTTAAGTTGGTCGCTATAAGCTACTCCCTACGTCCAATGTGTCAGAGCCAACTTCGACCACGTTTTTATTTGAACGCTAGTTATAAAACGTTTGTAGTAAAGTTATTTTAGTGATGATATTTATTGTTGCAGAATGTCTCACTTCGACGCCATGAACTTCACCGACCTCTCCTACGAGGACAGCTGCGACTCGGGCTTCGAACTCTCCTTCAAGTCGGAAACCTCCGACTTCACGGAAGACCGCAGCGACTACTTCGATTACGACAACGACGCCACCCCCACCAAACGGGAGAAAGGCTACGACCAAGACCTATACGACAAATTCAACACCGCCTTCCACAGCACGCTCACGGACCTGGACAGGAGAGTAGCGTCACGCGTTATGTACGAGAACTGGCACGAAACGTCTTGCAAGAAGAGCCTGTTTAACAAGGAGGAGGCCGAGTTTTTCTACCCCCTGAACAATGACCAGACCAAGACGTCTTCCCCGGTGAAGGAGAAACCGAAGAGGCGCTATGCCACTGGCAGGAACAGGGTCTCGAGGGCGAAGAGCCCTACGCAAATCATGAAGATCAAAAGGGTGAGACGATTGAAGGCTAACGATAGGGAGAGGAACAGGATGCACATGCTGAATGAGGCTTTGGAACGGCTTAGGTGCGTCTTACCTACTTTTCCTGAAGATACCAAGCTGACCAAGATCGAAACGTTGCGCTTCGCGCACAACTACATCTACGCTTTATCGCAGGCTGTCAACGATATAGAGAAATATTCGAATGCTGACGATAACATCGTAGTGAATGTGGGAAACGTCACGGTTTCCATCAGCAAGCACGGGAATACTATAACCAGTAAGAACTTTGAGGAGAAGGTTGGGAATGCTGTGGTGACCAGCGGGAGCATCACCAATGCTAGTTTTATGGCGGATTATCGTAGTGCTATCTCTAGTCCGGAGAGTGTCAGCAATGACGGGCAGAGTTATGGATTTCATGGTGATGTCACCTACCACAGCGGCCAGTCGTTTGAGTATCAAACTAATAGTACAAATTATCAGTCTTACAATAGTACAATGACGATGTTGAATAATTACAATAACAACGTCGTGTATGACTATAACGGTTTCATAAAAGGTTGACGTATAAAGTTTGCAAACATTGTGAATTACAAAAAAAATTATTTCTGAAAAAAAAAGCTGTCCACATATTTTAAAATTGTATATCGATAAGTATTTGAAACTTCAAGCTCATATTTTGATGATGAAAATGTAATTTGTTCGAAATTTATTGTTGCTTGAATCTGATGAAAAGCATTATTTGTTATTTCTTTTAACTGTTCAGAATAAAGTTACTATCGCAGCTCACTATGTAATTTTAAAAAGCATTATGTTCGAATATCGAAGTTCTCAGCAGATTAAAGCTTTAAAGTTGAAAATTTAGGAGGCTTTGGAAATGGAAAGGTGAAAATTGACCCTGCAAACATTCTAAATTTTTAATTATTACAAAATCTGAAAAATTGTAAAAATTTAGATACTTATGTATAAAAATATTACATTTCAACATAAATTATTGGTAAAATTTCAGATATAGAAAGAAGTTCTAAGTCATGATGCTTAAAGTTATGATCCAAATTTTTAATAAAAAAATTCCTAAAGTGATTTTTCCAAAGAACGCATTGAAAAAAAATTACAGCAGGCCGTGGATTATCAAGGGATCTTTGTAATTTGTTCTACAAGACATCTAGAACGTCACTACATTACAAATAAAAATATTCTAGTCGTACCTATGTCACAAAAATAATAATTAAAGGTGTCCTTAATGAGCCATACGGATATTATTCCTTTTGCAAAAAGTTTTTTTTTAGAGTTACCTACGAGTGCCTATAATTGAATAAACGGTGGTCTATGGAACAAACTAAAAAACGTTCGTAATCGACATTTACCAATGTTTGTAAATATGCAACGAATCTTTAAACTTTAAAGATAAAAATTACCACCAAGTTTCTCGAACAAAATTTCTTGCCTTTACTGTCAATTTTAAACTAATGATATGAGAGAAACATTGAGACCAAATCTAGTCAATCAAGTGTACTTACTTCCGTATTAAGCTAGTCTGAATATGTGATTTTAATGTAAATGCCTTTATAAAAAAATTGTATTATGTACGTTTTTATATATTTTTAAATAAATATTTAAATAAATTAAAACAGTTTATTTTTCTTTGACTAAAACATATTTGGAAATGCCACTTCCAATTTGCATTGTTTGAAGCAACAGAGAAACGAGCCAAATCAAGTCAAGTCGATCCCCCAACTTATTTATTATATTATCACTTTTTAATTAAAATTTTTAAACAAATGAAAATTTTAATGACTTCTCAGTCAGATAATAAAGTCTTTTTGGTTATACATATCCTATACGTTTAAGTTTAATATTCCGCAAGAAACTTTGAGTGCTTGGCATTAGTTTAAACAATATAAATTTTTATATCGCAGAGCGACGAACGATGTCGTTTGGTGTACCTTAGTTTTTAAAAAAACCGCGGACCTTCGACTTCACAGTCGCGAGCTTACAAACTGCGGCTCAGCAGGTTGTTAAAATGAAAAATATTTTAAATTATTAAGTATACAAGTCATGTTATAGAAACATAGTTTGCACGGTCCTCGTGGTATAAAGCGTATTGCGTTGATCGAGAATCTAAAGGTCCTGGGTTCGATCCCCGATACGGTACACTTTTTTTCAGTTAATATTTATTTCAAATGCAATTATTTGTCATTGTCCACTTTTCAAAACAGATATTTCCACATCAGGCTACGGTTACAGTGCAAGCGATTTCGCGCGAATCACAATTCGCGCGTGTATGCGCTTACTCGCGCGAACAAGCAATGGTTTCTGGTGTTTCTAAAATTCGCGCGATTGAAAGTGATTTTATCAGTTTCATTGAAGTATAGGACGCGGAAGGTGTTAAACATTTCAAGTTATGGATGTCGAAGAAGAATTTTATCTCTCCGAGAATTCAGTATTGAGATTATCTGCATTTAATAAGAAAAATAGGCGGTTCTGGGTTAATGAAATATACGCAAATCATCATTTAAGTGAATATTACCAGATTTTTGAAGAGTTAAAGCTGCAACCGATAAAGTTCTTTGAATATTATCGAATGAGTTATGACACATACTCTTATATATTGAATGCAATAGATGAGGCAATAAGAAAACAGTGTAACTTCAGGAAATGTATTTCTCCATCCGAAAAGCTAACAATAACATTAAGGTAAGTAAAACTTGTAGTAAAATTAGGGTAATGTTAATTTTAAACCGTGAAATTGGTAACATATGTTGCAATACTATAGTCTTCTCGACAGTCTTGGTGTTCCTCCTCTGGAACTTCATTTTCAGGAACAGGTTTATTTCTATTTAGTGAATTGGAATGCTGGGATACGGAAGGTTGAGAGAAAAGTGGAGGTGAAGATAAGTCATACCAGCTCGATTGAGTTGAAGAAGCAGGTGATGGTTCTGATTGAGGAGTAGTACTAGTAGAATATGAAGCGTGGACCCCGGAAAATCTATTTGGGAGAATTACGTGACCTGATGGCTGACTTTTGTAGGATGTTATCTCGTTCAGAAGAACTTGTTGCAGCTGTNTATAATAGTACGAGTTAAACATCCATCTACAGCTTATATCATTTTGTTTATAAAAAAAGAGATGATTCTAAAATATTACACATAAGTAGGTATCTACCTATGCTACCTGTGTAAAAACCATTAGAGACATCTTAATGAAATTTTCAGGACTTATTGTGTAATATTTATATTTTAATAAAAAAATATAAAAATAAAGTTAATCTATTTATTAACATATTTTTAATTACCTATAATATCTACAAAACTTTATTGGCATTTTTCAAGAATACAAAAAGAAATAAAAATGACCTAGATTATGGTCATTTTCAGTTTTACTGTCTTAGCAAATAACTATTCAAATTTCGCTTATTACGTATCTACTATTTTCTATACTACGATTTTCTGGATGAATTTAACAAGGATTCTAGCTCGCCTTATAATCAGCACATATTTGGCAACAGCCAAATATGTGCTGATTATAAGGCGAGCTAGAATCCTTGTTAAATTCATCCAGAAAATCGTAGTATAGAAAATAGTAGATACGTAATAAGCGAAATTTGAATAGTTATTTGCTAAGACAGTAAAACTGAAAATGACCATAATCTAGGTCATTTTTATTTCTTTTTGTATTCTTGAAAAATGCCAATAAAGTTTTGTAGATATTATAGGTAATTAAAAATATGTTAATAAATAGATTAACTTTATTTTTATATTTTTTTATTAAAATATAAATATTACACAATAAGTCCTGAAAATTTCATTAAGATGTCTCTAATGGTTTTTACACAGGTAGCATAGGTAGATACCTACTTATGTGTAATATTTTAGAATCATCTCTTTTTTTATAAACAAAATGATATAAGCTGTAGATGGATGTTTAACTCGTACTATTATAACTTTACTTAAAAACTATGAAATTTTATAAGAAGTACATATTCCTTGGCAAAAATTAATATAATATACAGGGTGATTCAGAAAGACCTCCCGTAAATTCAGGGGGTGACAGTACGATAAAAAATAAGAATTTTTTGTCTTATGAACTATATGTCTATCTCCTCTTGTTTTCACGATACAAAGCGACAAAATAAATGTTTTTAAATAGAATTTTTACGAAAATTTCCAAACGGTGAGAGATATTTTTATGAAATTTGGTATTCAGGGGTTTATAAGGACGCCAAATACGCTGGTCTAATTATTTTTTGGATATTTAATAGAGGGTGCTAGTTACGCTACATTCCTATTACATTTTAGGTTCTAATTTTTTTAAGGTTAGGTTTTTTACCATTCGGGCTACAATTTCTAATGTACAATTTTATTTTCTAAAAATAATGTACTCTTGTTAGAACTTCCTAATGTGATTGATAGTGACTGTAGACTAATTACAGTCACTAAAATTTTGATATAAAGTTAGAGTTTAAAATATCACTGAGAATGTATGCGTTGTTTATGAGACATTCATCAATAAGTTTTGACATAAGCCTACATTGAGAAAAGTCACTTATTTTCTTCAGCGAAATATTGTAAGAGTTCAATTAAAAGCCTTTTTTCTCGAAAACCGTCCACATTAGGAAGTTCTAACAAGAGGACATTATTTTTAGAAAATAAAATTGTACATTAGAAATTGGAGCCAGAACGGTAAAAAACCTAACCTCAAAAATATTAGAACTTAAAATGTAATACGAATGTAGCATAACTAGCGCCCTCTATAAAATATACTAACAATAATTAGACCAGCGTATTTGGCGTCCTTAAAAACCCCGGAATACCAAATTTCATAAAAATATTTCGCACCGTTTGGAAATTTTCGTAAAAATTCTATTTAAATTTTTTTTTTACAAACGTCAAAAAATGACAAGGTTTGCGCATTGACAACAATATGCGAAGTGACACTTTTTTTCGGATTCTTACGTTACCATGACACCGTGCGCGAAATACTTCGCGCACTAGGGTGCGAAGTATTTCGCACACTGCATGTAAATTAATAAGAGTTTTGTATTTCAATCTTTGAAAAAATGAAGCAAAACTCCAAATTATTATTTATTTTTAAATGAATAACAATGAGTACTTTTAAAATAATGATAGAATTTTACAATAACTTAGTGAAAATTTGATTAGGAATGACATTTTAAGCCAGCTCAACACTATTTTCTATAATAAATTAGGCATTTTACTTATTTATAATATTTTTAAGAGATAGATTTTGACGTTTGTAGAAAAAATATTGTTTATTGTAATGTCTCGAATAATTTTTTAACTCGGCTTCGTCTCGTTAAAAAATTCAATTCTCGATCACCAAAGTAGCATTTCACGCACTAGATACAAAAATAACTATTATTTTGTCGCTCTCTAAAACAAGAGGAGATAGACATCCGACAAAAAAAAATTTATTTTTTGTCGTACTATCACCCCCTGAATTTACAGGAGGTCTTTCTGAAACACCCTGTACAATAAGGTTCAAATAATTGTCGTCAATTATCCCAATTATAAAAAAGAGAAGTTTTCATAATTCCTTTAGAC